GATAGATAGATAGATAGATAGATAGATAGATAGATAGGCATCTGGAATAATACCTGCTATTTATTCCTGTTCAATGTTAATAAATGGCACATCGGGAATCCATAATACCCCTTTGATATTATTTTCTGGTGTAAAGGAACTATCATTGCTGGAATGAAGCTTGGATGTCCCGACCTGACCTTCCTGTTGGTTTTGGTGGCTGGCAAGCTGTAGATAGTACTCCTCAAGAAAACAGTGATGGTAAGCATCTCTTTTCCTTTCTTTGCCCCCTGTGCATGATAAAAATGGTTTGTCATTTAAAGGCATTCTCATGTAGCAGAACAGTTGCCATCTGGAAGGATGCAACATATATTTTTACCCAGCCTTCTTTTCTCATAATACCAGAAATTAGGGTCCTCCAATTAAGTTAACTGAGAATAAGTTCTGGTCCAGCAAAACAAAGAAAGAAGCAAGCACTGTTTGTATGATACATAACTTAAAGTATCTACTGTTAATAGTTTTTTTTAAAAAAACAACCTGTGGTCTTCCGGACTGGAGAAAAGGAAACTGCCCATCATTTATGATATAGTGAATCAATATTCTACTGATACTGCAGCTGTGAGGTGAATAGGAATCTCAGAAATTCAATCCATGCTAAGCATCAAAACTGGGACAAGGATTCTGGATTTGTCTACCTGCTGCAGTTGCCAGAGTATCCTGGCTATGCAATGGGTAATGCAGCAGACACAACATTCTTCCCAACACCCAAATCAGTAAAGTCCTTCCTTAATTGCCTTCAGTTCACTGGACTTCTGGGGGAGGTATGGCGAACTGAAGACAGCCCTGTGAAAGTAGAGTCAACAACCATGGCAAAGATCAAGGAACCAGCGAGTAGACTGGTTCCTTGGAACCTCTCCAAATAAGGAGAGGATGGGAGATTGCCTGCATGTGCTCCAGAAAGCTGCTCCTCACAAGGAGACTGCAGGACAGCAGTTTTCTGTGGGTTTGAGTCCTGGGAGATGACAGAATTAGCCATCTTGCTCACAACTGTGGTGGAGACTTTTAAAGGACACCAAGTTTGCAAACCTCAGGTTCTAATCACTTTCGGAAATTTCTCATTAACTACTTCTAAGCTATTAGAGACCTTCAGACCAAAGTCTGAAAACGCCAGGTGAGTCTGCCTTCAATCCTGAATGAAAGACAATTTTAATCATAAGCTTAACAATTTAACAAATCTGAAATAAACAGCAAAAAGCTAAATAAGATTTTGATCTTAGAAAGTTATCAATGGGCTAAGGATCCAGATAAAATTGGAATATTGAAACTTTTACAATAAGTTTTTGGAATTAATTATAAAGAACAAACAGTTTCTCATGGGAAATAGATTCGGTTTTGGTTTTTACAAGACAAAACAAAGATAAGCAATTTCATTATTTCAAAAACTGGACACTAGAGGGGACTAAAGTTTTTAGGTAGAGGAAAGATTTACAAGCCTATAAAATGGATTGGATTTATGTAAATTAAAAAAACAAAGTTGCTTGTTATGGACACGTTGGCATCAAAATGAAAGACAAGGCCAAATCTCAGCTAGGAGCAATACTATATGGGTTCATTCAGAAGTGAGGTCAAAGAGGTTTACTTCCTTGGAGATATATTTAAGGGTGTGGCCTCAATGATCCTGAATTATTTAGATGGTATTTAGTTGAACAGAGCAGACTATATCACCAATCTCCAATCTACTAAACTAGCTTGTTGCCCAGATTTGATGGAGAGTGCCACCCCCATCAACTGCTACTCTTGCTAGCTTTTGCCTGTTGAATGGAAACTAGCACCCTCAAGTAGCAAAACCTCTTACCCTGTATGTTTCATAAGCACCATGCTTCCTGCAGAACTTCAACATCATAACTGATTGTTAAATGAGAAAGAAACAAAGAAAGAAAAAAGTAATTTATCAATTATCATGTTGTTAAATGCATCTATGACCTGAGCAAATTTTTATTCAGAATGTAAATATATTTAGAGATCATGTATGTGTAATGAGAATTTATTTTTGCTCTTTGGGAGAGGCAAATATTAGCATATTAGTATACGGCTGTCAAATAACTGTAACAAATGTCTGTAAATGTGATTCATATTGACTCTGCTTTAATTATGTAACCTTTCAAAGCTTTGCTGTTTGCTGTGGTCTCAGGCTGACAGCTGATCAAGTGGATAGTGTTAAAAGATTGGACATCAGCAGTAGCTTGGCAGGGAGGGATGGGTGGGTTCTGGGTTACTGCACAAATTTTAGTACTTGGATCACATTGTGACTTTTCACATACAGGCATGTATCGGTGTGGTCCAGCTTCTGTTCAAGCCATCAAGCATGGACATGTCTGTTTCCAGTTTGATGCACCTTTTGTTTTTGCAGAGGTATGCATCTGTGCAAAGCGCTTTCCTTCAAATGGGTTCAGTAAAAATATGATTGAGACTTAAGTAACTTTTTACTATTAATTTATTTCAGATTTGTTTTTATTTGTTAGTCATCTAGCAATTGAAATAGTTGTTGACTTCTATTAAAACAAAAAATGTTACTTATAACCCTGTAACTACTATATAATAATAGCATAATACCATTTCATAGTGTGCAGGTGGTCACTTAATGACCACTTGTTCAGCAATTGTTCAAACTTACAATGGCGATGAATGAGGGTTAGTTACAACCAGCCCTCATACTTATGGCTGTTGCAGTATCCCTGCAGTCATGTGATTGCGATCTGGATGCTCGGTGACCAGCTTGCAATTATGACATTGCAGCATCCCGTGGTCATGTGATTGCCATTTGCAACTTTCTTTGCCAGATTCCTAAAGCAAAGTCAATGGGGAAGCTGGCAGGAGGTCACAGATGGAGACCACATGATGTCGCACTTAACAATGGTATGGGATTTGCTTAATGACAGCAACCAGAAGTGCCAGAATTTCTGTTGCTAAGCAGCGCGGTCATGTGACGCTACACTTTACAACCACATTGCTTAGCGACAGAAATTCCAGACCCAATTACTGTCATTAAGTGAGGACTACCTGTGTTCTGCACTGAACAAAACCTCCAGAATAATGTTTCCTATGTAGAAGCTAAGGTTTAGGTGGCCTCTTATCTAAACTATGAATTGTCTTTCATACATTAGCATTTGTGAGAATTAAAAAATGCCATTTTCAGAGAAGCTCAGGTGCTCATTTTTGCCTGATGACTACAGAGGGATGCCCAAAGCAGCACCTCATATTGGATAATCTAGTCACAAGACTTGTAAAAATCCAGTGAAACGATCCCCTAAAAGAGATCCTGGTTGGATTGTGGCAGTACAAGAACAATGAATTTTCTAATGATTGCCTGTGAATGGATTTTACCCTAATGTATTTCTTGAAACTTAGAATTCATTTGTGGCTCACAGTTTGAGGACCACTAACCTACAGAGTTTTGAGCCAACCAGCAACTCATTTGATGTTTTTTTTCCTATTTTTTTTTTTTAGGTGAACAGTGATGTTATATATTCAAAAGCAATGAAGAATGGAACTAAAGTGGTTCAACATATTGACAAAACCCAGATTGGAAAATTAATTTTGACTAAAGAAGTGGGTACAAATGAAATGAAGGACATCACTGAGCATTACAAATTCCGAGAAGGTAATTGTGTGGCAAAGTTCAATAAAAAGCAATTCATTTATCTAACAGGTCTTTGACACCACCTTTGTATTCATCTCCCAGTCTCTCACAAAACAGTTTGAAATCACCCACAATTGTCTTTGATTGTACGGTCTCAAAAGCAGAGAAAACCATGAGCCAATCAGTTCTCTCCCTCCAGCTGATCAACAGGACAGAGCAAAGATACCATAAAGTCAGTGTTCTGCTCCCTAAATTACCACCCGCTGTGGGGTAACAAAAATCCTCCATACTCTTGCTCCATACAAATGGCTAGTGCTACCCCCACAAACAATCCATGTTTTTCAGTAAGTGTATTTGTGTGCATTTTTCTGGTGACTTGTAAATAAATAAATGAAAGAATAGTTGCTATGACAGTTATGTGATAGAAGTCAATTGAAAAAAAAGGTAAATAAAGACTACCAAGAGAGATCTTTCTTGAATTTAAAAGCACCTGTGAGTTGTGAAGATGATATGTTAACATGTCAACAATTTTGCCACTGAGTAGTCAGTAGTTATGACCATGGCTGCATGTTGCAAGGGTAGCTGATTTTGGGGGAGGGTAAAGATAAATTCTAAAGAAACCATACAGAAGGGAGACAACATTTAAACACAGAATTCTGAATCTCTACTGGATGAGCAGGGGGGAAGTGTAAGCCCAGGACCCAAGAAGTTGGGTAAGGTAAGAATTCCCATGAAGGGGAAAAAAGATTGCCTATATGGGATGGAGAACCATAGAAATTAAAAGGAAAGTACTGACTATGCTGCAGTTTCTAATAAACAGAAGCAATCAGAAATAAGCTCAATCCTCTGACGTAAACAGTATCATGAGCTCAATCGGGCCTGGATCCTAACCCAAAATGATACAAAATAGTGGTGTGGAAATGTCCAAAGTCTACACATTCACAGAATAGTACCCCTTATTGTCTACTCAGAACAACTTCTAAACTTCCAGCCTATATGAAGAAACAAGAAAGCTTCTAGTTAACAAGCTTCCCATTTCATTCATACTAGGAAATTATGGTTAAGAGCTTAATAAAAAGCCATATCTAAAGCCACAGTTTGAAGTTGGCTTCATCTAAGCTGTTAATCACAGTTCCCTGGTTTATGTAAAATTCTGACATGTTCTTTATTATGTGTCCCCAAGCCTTGTTCATATCTTTTTGATTCTGTGCCATATCTCTGTCTCTGTCTCTATCATTTATCTATGGCATTATTTAAATAATAATTCAGATTATTTGTTATTATGTTTTCCTGTGCCATCCCCTAAAATATGCTTCAAATGAGGTATAAAGCAGCAATACAAGCTAGATTGATCACATTTTCATATCATGCAATAACATAGTTTAGTACATTAATAGACAGCCAAGTGGTCTTTGAATTATAACTCCCAAGCCACATGTGTGTAATGGTCAGGGAATTTGAGTTATTCCTGTGCCATCCCCTAAAATATGCTTCAAATGAGGTATAAAGCAGCAATACAAGCTAGATTGATCACATTTTCATATCATGCAATAACATAGTTTAGTACATTAATAGACAGCCAAGTGGTCTTTGAATTATAACTCCCAAGCCACATGTGTGTAATGGTCAGGGAATTTGAGTTATGTTCCACATATTTTCCCTTCCTTTCTCCTTTCCTGCTTCCAGTACTGAGAATATTAACTTTTAGTTCATCATTTATTTGGACCCAGCGTTGTGATTGACAGTTTTGTTAATTGCAAGAAACCACCTTTTAAAATTGGCTTCTTCAAAATTAGTCAGTGCTGGCCTTTTTGTTATACCAGAAGGCCCAATGAACTACTGAGGGAAAGTGGGGAGAAAATTCTGAGCTCAAGTAGCTTTCAGCCTGTTACTGTTTTTAAACTTCAAATTAGATCATGCTTTAGCAGAGAATATGCAAACCTCTGGATATCAAGCCATGGATAAGCTAAATTTTAGCCTAGTTATGAGATAGTGGCTGGTAATTTACATACTGTGACAGCCAATATCTATTTGTTTTGCAGGTACAGAAGAAGAAAGACTGGCCCTGGAGACTGCCTTGATGTATGGGGTTAAAAAATCTGAAACTGAGGATGCCTCATCCAGTACAGAGGTTGACATGAATATTGTGGTGGAAGACTCAACTCTTGGCAGTGATTTCACTGTCACTATTACTTTTCAAAACAAAACCCCAAGACGCTACACTGCAACAGCTTATATTTCTGGCAATGTTGTGTTTTATACTGGAGTCTCAAAGACTCAATTCAAGGATGACAGCTTTGATGTGACGCTGGAACCCATGAAAGGTAAGGCTATGGTTGTCTTTTGACCTCAAATACTGCTTCACTAATTCAAATGTGGAAGCCATCCTTCTCTGACTTGGCATCCTCTAGAAGTGTTGGACTTCAACCCGTATAATCCCACAGTTTTTGACCAGGCTGGCTAGGCATTATGAGAATTGAAATCCAACAGATCAGGAGGGCAACCAATCAGGTAAGATTAATGTAGCCCACCATTTCTTGAAGGCTCACAATGGATAAAAATATAATAAGAAAACAAGGAAGTCTTTATTCAAAATGTGTTTTCTGTAAAGTGTTCAAAGTATTTTGCAGAAATTGACGTTGCATAAAAAGCTTCCATTATCAACAAGAAAATGTTTAATTAATTGATTAAAATGGTTTAAAAACCTGAAAACAGTAGAAATATACTTGCACAAAGGCTGGTAGGAAAAAAAATAGTCTTCCTGATATTTTACTATAGCAAGCCTAGTCTATATCCTTGGGAAGAATAGTCAAATGGTCTGAACCAGTAGAGAAAGTTTTCTAGTTGCTCCTTATCTAATTTCAGAAAGCAGAGGGGTAGAAGATGATGGCCTGAATTGAATGAAAACTCATATGGGAGTTAGGGATATGTAGATCACTAACAATCCAATATCTTTTACTGTTTACATTTGCAAGGCAGTATTCTCATCCATTTTGCTTTTAAAACTCTGGCAAAAAAAGTGCAACTGTTTACATTAACAAGTCTTTTTAATTTATACAGCTTTTTTTCCCATCAACGTCTGCTGATTTATGTAGTTTTAAATTCCCCCCTAAGAAAACTTTGGTGTGACTATTATTCTTTTATCGTAAATCTTTCCTGCTGTAAAGGCCTCAGAAATGCACAGTCTGTTTTTAGGGGCATTTCTCTCGTTTGTTCCCTAGATTTTAGAAAAGGAATAATCAGCAGATTTCATTCAGTTCTGGTGTCTAGGGTATGACCCAGTCCAGCATTTCACCCCAAAAAAGGTTTGCTGTGGATTTCTTTTATGTCCATAATAGAGCAGCAGTGATCTTTCAGACACATGGAGCCTGGCGTTTTTGACTTTGTAGGTCAGATATAACAGGACCAGTTCCAGGCTCAAAGTGCTGTCTGGTATGCAAGGCACCCATTCCCAAAGAATAATCAGAACTGCTGGAGGCTCGTGGGCAGTAGCAGAAAGGAACACCATCTAGACCAGTGAAGTATGGAGACAAATGCCCCTAGTTTTAAATTTCACATGAAAATAGCACACTCTGGAGAATTTGATTAAATCAAAAAATGATGTCAGGTTTGCAGCTACCAACGGCTTGATAAATTCATTCAGAAGAGGAGGAAGGCAGGCATGGATACCCCCAATTGTGTACAGTATTAACTTTGATGCAGAGTGCTGGGTCCTCAGAAGTGGCTTGAAGATGCCTGGTGTTGAACCCAGATCTGTGTACCAATGTTTGGAATTATGCTAATTATAAATTTTAAAAAGCACTAATTAGAAATTAAAAAGGAGTCTGCACTGATGTCCATGTGAAGGCCCCATTTCACATCAAATATTTATTTGCAAGGCAGAGGAACACTTAAAAGCCTGAGATTGGCTCCCACATCTGCTCCATGTTTAACCTATAGTGAAGGCTATAGTGTATGACATTCTTGGCTTGTTATGTGTTAGCAATATTTTTTGGTAATCCCTCAAATGAACATTACTGTACAGGAGCCTGTGTAAATTTTTTGTATTGAAACTCATATATGCAGATGGGTAAAAGTGTTTGAATGTACCTTAATTACACACACATGTACTATATATACTGAGGAGGGTCTTTAGAACTTTTTAAACGAATTATATAGCAAAACGTGTGCATGGCTTCAGTTGTATTTTACATATGGTAGATAATGCTAGTATGTTTATGACTAGGGGCTGTGTTTATGGAAAATTAGGGCAAAATGGGTTTCCGTTTAGAATCTGATTATATGATCCTCCAAAGCATGTTAAAATGAATTGTGTAGGTGGAAAACAAGTTCATAGATGTGAATGTGTCAGTATCTTCAAAGGGGAAATATTCCATGAGTTAAAAAAAGATCCTTTGACACACACTAATAATATTGCTATATTTAGTATTTTATCCAAGAACATGCCGATGACTATCACTGTGAATCTTGTTCCCCTATTATTTAATCGCTTTCCTCCAGTGTACACCGAAATGTGAAAACACCTCTTCTCCCAGTGAACAACTTACTAGTATCCTGGCCCCAACAAATAAGCTTAAAACTCACTTGTTGAGGCTAGCATTTTCTCAGGAACAATTCATCAAGATCTGCATGTCCTAGCTGAGGGCAAGCCAGCAATGGATGGGGCCCAAATCAAAATTGGATGTCTAAACCTCTTTTATTACTCATTCTGCCATCCCCTGCTCTCTCTCTTTTCCTCTCATTATCTCCTTGCTTGTGGATTGCTCAGAGAAGGGACAGTTCATTCTAAGTAGAATCTGAACTGATTTTGGGAGGTCTTTTGAAATTAGATCAACATATACCTGTACATGCCTAAGACCAATGCTTGTCTTAAAATAAATAAGTCTTGCTGATTTTGATGATTATTTCATTTATGGCCTTCAGTTGGTAGCCTTGAAACCATATCTAGCTAAAGTCAAATGCAGAAACATAAGTCTATGAGCAATAAGGAAAAAAGACTGCACTAATCAGTCCTATCCTTTTAGAATACCTGCTCCAGCTCTGAATCCACTTGACATCATGTATTCACTGGATGTTAGTTGATGGGTTTAGGGCCAAAATCAGGAGGAAGGGAAGTCATTGGATTGGGCTGATATATACAGTCTTCCTATATGAATGATGCATCAATCACTGTACAAATACAGTGGTACCTCAGTTCACAAACTTAATTCGTTCCGCGACTCTGGTCGCGACCC